CTACAACTAGAATATACAACTATGTACTGGGGGGCTTTGGAGAGAAGAAGAAAGGAAAAAAAGCAGAAGACGACTGGCAACAGATGTTAGCTCAGGTGCCAATCTAAAAACAAAACAAAAAATTAAATACTAAATTTCTGTGTCTTCAGAAGTTGATAATGAAAGCATAACTTGAACAAAATGTTAGTTGATATTTACCATGAGGGCTATAGGGAAAACACCAATCACAGGAAAGTCAGAAGACCGAACTCCTGAAGAAGCATCAGCATCTGTGTTGTAAGTTAGCAGTTATCTTGAGACTGCCTGAAAACCACGCTTCTGCAGCTACAGAAAATGAGTCTGCAGCATGTCAAGCATGACTTTCATAAGAACTCAGCACTATCCAAGAGAACTTTCTGAGATGATGGAGATAGTCCACATCTAGATACTAAGCAATTAAAATGTGGCTAGTGCGATTGAGGAACTGAATTTTTAATTTAGTTAATTTTAATAAATTTAAATCTAAATAGCCATGTGTGGCTAGTGGCTACTGTATTGGCCAGTGCTGCATTAAAACAAATGACAGTTGTTCTAAATTAATTTTGTTCATTTTTCATTCTAACTTTTCTACCGTAAGTATGAAAAGTGAAGCGATAGCTGTTAATATGATGTCCATTAGTAAAAGAACTTTTCAAACAGTTAAATGATACTGGTTCCATATCAACGTCATTAGACGTTTTAAATAGAAAATCAGTCAGATTAATTCCAATAATGGTTTAGTTTTCCCTTCAGTTCATGGAAACAAAGCAAAGCTTCTAGAAGATCATTCTGTGGAAAGTGAAACATTTGACATTATTAGGAATTCTATGTAACTTCATTTGAAAAGTTCAATGCTAAAGATAAAATTCTTAATTTTTACAGTAATAATACACATTTTGGCAGAGCACAGCACTGTAGTAAAAACAATGCTCTTACTAAATTAAGAAATCTATGAAACACAAATGTACATGGAATTAGAATTATAATTCATATTGTGCCCAAATGAACTGTGACAATGTACCAATCAAAATAGAAACCATAGTTGTCAAATTTTTAGATAATAATTTTACTTAGAATAATTGAACAACAAAATTTTTGCAACAAACTGATGTTAAATACACAAAATACTTCAAAATCGCAGGAGGGGCTTTCTAACACTGCCTACCATCAAATAGATTTTTAAAATATTTGAGCCTTTGAAGACTGACTTTATAAAATCCAAGCGTCCTATAACGATGGTATTATGGAAAACAAGTTCTCTAAATCTTAGTTGCATTGTTCAAAATCAGTTAGAAATCTATAATCAAAGCAATCAACTTAAGCCTTTGAAGCTTAGTGAAATAAAATTAATGAAAACAAAGCTTATGCACAGGAAGACACTGAAATTTCCCTACAAAAGCAAAGAACTGAACAAATTGTACATTAAAAGTTGAAACAGTGAGGGGCTGGCCCAACCCGGTGGTGCAGCAGTTAAGTTCACATGTTCCACCTCAGTGGCCCAGGGTTCTTCGATTTGGATCCTGAGTGTGGACCTACACACCACTTGTCAAGCCATGCTGTGGCAGGCATCCCACATATAAAGTAGAGGAAGATGGGCACAGATCTTAGCTCAGGGCCAGTCTTCCTCAGCAAAAAAGAGGATTGGCAGCAGATGTTAGCTCAGGGCTAACCTTCCTCAAAAAAAAAAAAAAAAAAGGAAAAGTTGAAACAGTGAAAGAACATAATTCTGAAATTCTATAATTGCCCTTTGGAATATCTTGACTTGTAGGAAGAACCTTTTCATGAAATTCATATTTATTTATTTATTTTTTGCGAGGAAGATTGGCCCTGAGCTAACATCTGAGCCAATCTTTCTCTTCTTTATGTGGGATGCTGCCACAGCACGGCTTGACAAGTGGTGATAGGTCCACACCCAGGATTCAAACCTGCGAACCCTGGGCTACCAAAGCGGAGTGTACAAACTTAACCACTACGCCACCAGGCCAGCCCTGGAATTCCTATTTTTAATTGGATAAATTTTTCTGTGACAGAATGAAATGAAATTGAGTAGGCCTAAAATTTGTGAAACATTCAAAGGAATCATAAATAGAGACAACTTACTTGATGAATCTGTCATTAAAAATATTGAACACCTTATTATTGAAAAAGAGTATTCTAGTTCAGGTAAAAAGACAGAACTTGGAGAAATACTACAGATGAAATTATTTACCCATTTCAATTAAAACAAATTTTAAAAAGTTGAGACACTTCCATTTAGTAGAATTTGCTTTGGGCTTACCAGGTACTGAGAACCTAGAGAGTATGTTCTTATTGAAAAGCATTATGGTCTAAAGAAAAGAATTAACTGAGATTGGCAGAGAGGTTAGCTCAGCAACAATATTCCTCAAGCAAAAAGAGGAAGACTGACAACATGTTAGCTCAGGGCCAATCTTCCTTACCCCGCCCCCCGCCCCCTAAAAAGCTCAAGTTCATCCATTGCCTCCACATCACTAAATCTAATGATGAATTCTCAGTCCTCAACTTGACCCACCATCAGCATTTGACATAGTTTATTATTTCCTCCTCCTTAAAAGGCTTACTTCATTCGGCTTCTAGACATCATTCTTGTCTCTTGGTTTTCTACTTTTCTAGCCACCCCTTCCTGGTCTTCTTAGCTGGATCTTCCTTCTCTAACTTGATCTCTAAAAATTTTGGACTGCGCCAGGGCTTAGCCCTTGATTCTTCTTACATACATTCCCCCAGCACGAAGGTGATTTCATCCAAGTTCATAGCAGTAAATATCACCTACATATTGACAACTCCCACATTTAGATTTCCAGCCAAGATCTCAATCCCAAATTCCAGGAGGCAACAGTTAAAGATGCAGATTTCTATCTCTAGGTCACATTTCTTCTCTGAGCTTTACACCCATTTATCCAACCCAGTCTACATCTCTAGTTGGATATCTCAAAGAAATTCTACACTAACCATGTCCAAATGCAAACTCGTAATCCCCACCCTCTCTTCTACCTATGAAATATGCTCCTCTCCAAGTGCCCACTGCAAATGGCACCATCATTTCCCCAAATGTAACATCCAGAAAAGCAGAAGTTATCTCAGACACCTCTCTCTTTCATCCTTAATATCTGATCCATCCTGTTGATTTTACCTTTTAAAATATTTCCTGAATGTATCCTCTTTTCTTCATACCCATGTCTACTGTAGTCCAGGTTTACATCACACTCAACCAGACTAATACAGACACCTCCTAAGAGTCTCTCTTCATCTACTCCTGCTCCTTTTCAATTCATTGTCCACGCATCTTCTCAAAAATGAGTCTGCTTACATCTCTCTGCTTCAAATCTTTAACACCTTCCTACTGCTTTTAGGATAAAAACAAGATTTCTTAATAAAGTCCAGAAAGCCTTGGATAGGATGCCCATTGCCTGCCTTCACAGATTCATCTCTCATCAATCTCTGCATCACTCCACACTTTAGCATCACTAGCTTTTTTTCAGTCCTTTGAGCATACCATGGTCCTTCCCCTCACTGGAACTTTGCACGTAGTGTTCCCTCTGCCTGGAATGCCAATGGGCCACCCTACTGCCACCACCACCCATCCTTTATACTTAACGCCTGCTCGATCTTCAGATCTCATCTCAGGAAACACCTCCTCAGGGAAGCCTTCCCTACCTCCTCAAACTAGATCAACATTCCCTCATATATGCTTATCATTGCTCATAATATTTCTAAGTGTAATTCTAAACGTACATTTATTTTTGAGATTCATTTGTGCTCAATGTCTGTCAATCTAAAAAGACCTTAAGGTAACTGAAGGAAAAGCTGTGCTTTGTTTGCACTGCTGTAGCCCAGCCCCCAGCCAGCAGGGACGCACAGGCCCGTCTCAATGAATGAGAATCAACGCAGGAGGAACCGTGGAGGCCACACAACTGGACAGAACTGCAGAGGAATGGGATTTAGAAAGATGAAAGGGACCAGAGTAACCCTGGGGAAATATCACTATTTAGGAATCAAGCAGAGATAAGAAGTTAGAAAAAAAAGCCGCCAGAAAGTTAAAATCAACAATAAAAAAGGAAACAGCATCACAAAAGCCAGAGGAGAATAAAATGCCAAAAAGACAGAACGGCACCGCACTTGACAAGTAGGCAGCCAGCGATCTGACAAAGTAACAACGTGGGAGACAACGCAGAGAGGCAGTGTGAACAAAGGGAAAATCTGGGGAAAGCTCACGTCTTTCCAACTGCTCTGGAAGGAAGACTTCAACTTTTTTAACGTACTAAAACCACCATGACGGTCTGAACCGCACAACAATCTAAGGAAAACATGCGTGCCGCTTTGTATTTCAGCCTCTTTCTCTCTAGCTGGATGCGTCCTTTTAGGCTGACTGCTTACACGACATTCAAGAATAAACGTTCTCATATTTACACGTGAAACGTTCTTTTTGTTTCCCAAAGTCCCTTACCTCCCAGAATCATCGAAACAGACATCTGTGTGGCCCTCTGTGTGCCCGTATCTCATCGGCTTCTGCGTGGCAGGCATCTTCTCCTTTGCCTGGAAAGGTTTAGGACCGCTGGTGTTGTTCGAGAGGAGAGGACAGCCGGGGCTGAAGGGAAGAAGGCAGGCTGTCTCCTCCCGGGAACGCTCTCGGCAGCCCCGCTCCCGCCCCGAGGCGGCACCAGCAGGACACAGCAGAGGGTCTGTCTGACGAGCAGCCGGGAAGAGGACACGCCGCTCCTTGGCGGGCGGCACGGACACGGGCAGCGGGAGGCAGGGCCCACGGAGGCCACCGACCCTCTGCGACCGAGGAAGGGCGAGACGCCAGCGCCCGCGAGGTACGGCTTCCCGCGCTCTGGCGAGCCGGCCCCGGTGCGCCTGCGCCGGCCCGCCCACACCGCGCGGGGCCCGACCGAGGTCGCGGGGTGGTGGCGTCAGCGGCGCGCAGGCTGCCGGGAAAAAAGCCAGTGGCTGGGGGAGCGAGGAAGAAAGGGAGGGAGCCGGACGCGGAAGTGGTGGCAGCGCCTGGGGACCAGGTGGAGGCGGTGACCGCGACGTCTGAGACGAGATCCCAGCGCCGAGGGGAGCGGCCTTGCAGAAAGGCATCCGCCTTGTAGGACCTATATGAGGTGCAGAGGCGCCTGGGCCTCCCTTCTCCGCCTCATCGAGCTCCCAGAGTGATGGCGATGGTGATGGCGGCAGTGCCTCGGACAGCCCCAGTGAAACCGCGCTTCGAGAGGTGAGCGGGGGAAGGGCGGTTGCTCCCTGGTCTTGTTCCTTCCTTCCAGGCTCTCGTCACTTACAGGGTTATGATTATTTCGGGATCCCTGGACCGTCCAGCCCCTCCTTTGGGCATTTTCTTTAGAGGAGAGGAGAGCGAGACCCTTCTCAAGCTTGTAATCTTGGCATACTTCCCGCCCTAACCGTGTCGTTTCTATAGAGGTAAAGGAGGGAAGAACAGTCTCAGTTCGCGGTCCCTAGAGGTATGGCGTGTACTTTTATGCTTATTCTTTGGGACTCTTTACATAGATCCCTTAAGAAAGGAACCTGGATTTCTCTGCTCACACCCCACCTAAAGTTCACTGAAGTGCGTACTGAGATCTAAAAGAAGAGCTAGAACTAAAGTACATTGTTGATGACTTCGGTCCTTGCAACCTGTTCTGAGGTCTTGACCATTGAGTTTATGCTTTGCTTGTGTCTTCACGTTCTCCATGTTGGGAGACTGGTCTCTGATGAAAACCTTCACAATGATATTTTGTGTGTGTGTGTGGTACCCACCTTCTAGTCTCAAGCAGACCTCGTTGTGGCATGACTGAGACATTTTTCTCTTGTACGGATGTCCCCCATTGTTTTGCAAGCTAGTTCCATTGTGAAAAGTTCGAGACGCACAGTTAGACAAACCGTGGTCTTGTTCTTACCGTGGTGGCCTTGTGTAAGGGGTTATTTTGAATACTGGGGCTCCAGATAGGCTTGCTAGACGCTGAGGTTTGGTATATGAAGGAAGAGGAAGAGTGACTGGCAGAAAAAGAACTTGGGATTTGTGGAAAAAGAACCCACCCATTGTTGATTCCCCACGAGAGCAAAAGATACCTGAGACGATTCTTTGTGAGTGACTTAGTCTTATTTGGAGATCATTCATTTTTTAGATACACCTATTTATAATTTTTTTTATCCAAGTAAATATCATTGGATAGACCATGGGGTTCAAGATGAACTCTGATAACATTTGCCCCTTTGTGAATAAATCACCATGAGATTTCAGTGTGGGACTCTTCGGAGCTCAGCATAAGAAGAATCTGCAAATTGGAACAAGAGCTATACAATACCCTAACTATACTATCTGTAGTACCACGTGACTTTAAAACTGTGAGTGGTGTCCACTCTTCTGTCCTTTCAGTCGGCCTTAGCAGTCAAGCCATGTGAGTCATAGCTTAAAGAAAAATTTTATTTACAAATTTCACATAGATGGAAAGAGCTTGGGCCGTAGAGTTGAACAGCCTAGGTTTTAATTTTGACTCTGACAGTTTCTCATTGTGTGACCTTGAATATGCTTCTTTACTTTTTCTGAATCTCAGATTCCTCATCTCTAAAATGCAGGTGATACCTCCCTCTATCGAATTGTTAAAGGATATAGGAGATACTCATGGATGTAGAAAACTAATTATGTCTCATATTATTTATGGAGTACTTTGGGTGAGCATTTACTGGTTTCATTTAAAATGAAGTTGGTTTAAATCATCCAGTAAAATTTTTCAAATACTAAAAGATACATTCTTACTTTGGCTAGTATTATGTTTTGACAATTCCATCCCATTTCAATCAAATGCCTACAAATTTTAATGTCTTCAGTGAGTTCACGGTCTTGTTGAGGGAAAAAGACGTTCAAACAATATGTACAAAATGATAGTGTGGTAATGAAATGTGTGCAACTTAAATGTTAGCAAAATTGGTTATTTAAGATCACATAGCTTTTAAAAAAGGACCATTGTAGCTGTCTGTCACTGATATGGCTGTCAGAATTTTCCAGATGGATTTATTTATCAGTAATAGTGCATGTCTGATAGGAGTGGGTAGGTGAATGAACGGACTGAAAATGATGCCGAGGTCACAGGTTCAGTTGCAGTGAAGGTTAGTTAACTGTGCTGTGTTGTGACCACTCGTAGTACCCTTAGGCTCCTGAATATTGTTGGTCTCAAGGGCAATAGGGTGAGAAAACATGAATATATTACCATTCTGCTGATGGTAGTGAGTAATATCTGTATAAATGATAATATCACATAATCTTAGAGACTCAGCTTATCCAAGAGACATGTCTGTATTGCCTTTTGGAAGGAGTTTTTAAAATGCCTTTTTAGTAAAGTATGTACTTGACATAAAAGTCACTAATCCGTTGAAAGATAAGGCTGGAAGAGAGTGTAACAATAACTGAGGAGAACAGAGTATGGAAAAAATAACATTGAAGGCAGTTTAGAAATCTGAAGATTTTTATATCCCTGAAAGTGTCATGAAACTTACCAGCCTATTTAATTTATTTTTAGGGTAAATAATATTTGCACGTGTATAAACTTTCTAAGGTATAAAAGGGACTACAGTAAAAGTCCTACTCCCAGCTGCTTAGTTCCCCTGCCTTAAAGCCGGTATTTGATTCTTGTATTGTTACGTTAACAGTGGATCCTTACCACAGCAAGATAGATATAATCGTTGTTTTACTGGTGAAAAAACTGAGACTCAGAAAGGTTGTGATTTTTCCGAGGTCACAGTCCTACCAAATGTCGGAGCTAGAAATAGAACCCGAGTCTTTTACCTTCTAATCCTAGGTAGTCTTACCACACTGCCTCTCCAAATCATAACTATTGCCATAAAACTTAGAATTTAGTAAAACATATCAGAACATAATAGTGATTTTATTTGTCTATCATCGCCTTATACTAGTTTTTAGGCAAAACTTGTTCCCAAGGTTGAGTGTAAGCATACATAATTATTATACAGCAATGAAAAGAATAATCTATAGTTAGTTTAAAAAAAAAAACTTTGCCCACTATTTCTCTTGAAATCTATTTATTTACTAAGTTAGCTTGCAAAAACTACAATTTTTTTATAATTAAAAGTTTGGTTATTTAGACCCATAATATTTTTAAAGAGTTTAAAACTTTTTTAAAAGGCCATGTTTAATAAAATCAGGAGTGCTTTATAATATTTCAGAAATGGTGAAGCCTTCTCAGCATCAGATTTTTGAGTTAGGTTTTCATGCAGATTTTCTTGCCTTATGTGTAGGCTTTGTTTCCTTTCTTGTTTTTCTTAATTTTGCCACTTTCCCATCTTTCATTTTTAGAAATTACTTTCTTGTGCATGAAAAGGCTGCTGTTACATATTTTCATTAAGCTCAATGTATGCTGTTTTCGTACATTTTAGTCCTGGCAGTAAAAACATGAGATAGCTGGCATTATCCGGATTTTACAATAGGAAAACAAGCAAAATGAGATTTTTTAAAAATCAGGTGAGTAGTAAGTGACAGTCTGTATTTTGGCTCGTGTTTGACAATTTAGCAACTCATGCTATTTCGTCTACACCATGCTTCATTTTTAAATATGGTACAGTGAAAACTATAGATTGTTAAATTTTTATGGATCTTTAAAACTTAAAAATTTTCTCCTTGGACTAAATTGCTCTTATATGGGCGAAAATGTCTAAATTGATTGCCTCTAGGTAACTGAATTATAGGTTTCTTCTTTTTTAAACTTTTCTAAATGTTCCGTATATTTTATAATGAGCATATATTATTTTTATAATTAAAAAGTCATTGAGGGGCTGGCCCGGTGGTGCAGCGGTTAAGTGCACATGTTCCGCGTTGGCAGCCCAGGGTTCGCTGGTTCGGATCCTGGGTGTGGACATGGCACCGCTTGGCAAGCCATGCTGTGGTGGGCATCCCACATATAAAGTAGAGGAAGATGGGCACGGATGTTAGCTCAGGGCCAGTCTTCCACAGCAAAAAGAGGAGGATTGGCAGCAGTTAGCTCAGGGTTAATCTTCCTCAAAAAAAAAGTTATTGAAAGGAAAAAATACATCTGTACAATCCAATTTATTCCCTAAAGAGTTACAATAGTATATCTTAAATGTTCTCATTTCTAAGATTCTGTTAAGGTCCTTCCACTTCTAGAAGTCCATGTACTGCCAGCTCTTAGTTTTCTGTTCTCTCTCCACTCTAGATTAACCTTCTTCAGTAACAGGTTCCTAGACATTTTATCTTTAGCATGCTCAGGAAATGTACATTCATTTTAATATTAGCCCAAGTTAAAGTTTCTCCAAAATTTGTTCCACAAAAAGGATTTTTGGTAAGTTAAATATAGGAAACTATGGCTTCAGCCCGTCTCTGAACTGAAGGACCTCTTGGAACTTTTTGCTAAATATGCGTTGTAGTCTTTCAGAAGGGAAGCATTTCCCAAACTTGTATGACAGGGAAACCCCTATTTCTCTAACATATGTATTAACATCTTTTAGAATTAGTGTCTATAAGAGTACAGATTGGGGAACACTGGCGTAAGCAAACAATAATTAGGAAAGTAAGTGGAGAAAGTGGGGAGAACGGAAGGAGACTATGGTGGTACTAATCACTGGTTCCTTTTTTATCCAGTTAAGTCCCATGAGCCCTGGCTTGGTAGCATGAAAAAAGGTGATACTTTAAAATATTTACTGGAAATGAACCTGTGTTGCTTTTGTAATGAGAAAAAACATTTTTTGCTTCAGAGATTTTTCTCACATGAAAACCCTGGTCATATTTTTTCCTTAACATTCTGAGGAATCCATCTGTTGTCAACTATCCAATATATTCCATTTGTAGAGCATAAATGTTTCCACAGAATCCAACTCAAATATCACGCTCTGATCAAATATGGAGGATATGACCCACAGAATCCAATTCAAATATCACAGAGTATGGTCAGAATACTCCCAAGGAGTTTCGGGGCACATAATGGCAGGTAAACTTAGGAATCATGGATTTGGTAAGGAAGTTCCCACAGCAGAATTACTACCAGAATAATAATTTATTCTTGAATTCTTTTTGTAGTATAGTAAATTATTCTTTATAGGATCAAACTGATTTTAATTTAGTGTTTACACGAATTCTGGTCTTAGGAATACATCAACATTGTAGATATAGTAGTTGTTCAATGAATAAAGAATATGTACAGTAATGCTCTGTTATCCAGCATCAGCGAGAATATAAATGAATTTTCCAGA